ATATCACATTATTCCACCTCTTCTTGCCAATGGCAGCAGATTGTGGGAACAATAATTTTATCGAGGAGAAATAATTTGTTAAAAAAAATTGAAAAAATTTTCTTACCAAATTTATTAATTCCGCATTTATGAAAGGTTTTATCATATTGTATCCCATTTCGGCTATTGACGACGTAATTATTAAGTGTATTCCTTTCATGCGTACTATTATGATGTCTAGAATAGAGTCCAGTACTTTCTTTATAATTGATATGTTTAAACGTGCCACGTGTCCGAGTGTCGTTCCTGTGGCATCGAATATGTATATATACTCCAGAGGCGATCCGTGAGAACGAGAAAATTCGTCGCACGACATAACAGCAGCACTTATAAATTCATTGCAGAAGAAATTCGAAGGATCTGGATCGACTAACCGTACCAACATTATATTATATCCTTCCTTTGTCTTACCCTCTAATTGAAGCTGAGCCCTATTAGTTAAAGAATATTTATAAGAAATTTTATATGAATTCCAAATATATTTTTATAACCGATTTGATATAAATATTTACATTAGAAATTGACATGGACAATGTGGGCATTACATACTGCCAATAACAGATTAAATAAATATATTTTTTTATACCTAAAAAAGTTACAATCTCAATTTATTATAAGTTATTCTAAAAATCCGTTTTGACTGAACTGAATATGATGTAAATTATTCGTACAAAAATTTATATTTTTATGTTTCGTAAAATTAATGTATTGTCTTGCATAAATTGTCAATATTTTGAACGTAAAAAATATAAATAACAATTTGAATTAGTTATTTATATATATATTATTATGTTTGTATTATTATGTATATATTATTATGTATGTATTATTATGTTAAAAAAAAATGTAAGATTTACTTTTATGTATAATTTATTCAATGTTGTTCACTAAAGTTGCCGCATAGGTAGGATGATGAACACATTCGAAACTTGTAACCTTTTTAGCTTTGTAGCGATTTCTAGCATAAATATTGTCATTCTGTCGGTCAAACATTGCTTCGCAAGTAATAAATATGCAATATTTGAAGAATGAGTTTGTGTCTGTATGTGTGTGTACGTGCGTGCGTGCGTGTGTGCGTGCATGCGCGCGCGCGTACGTGTGTGTTCTTATATAACTTGCAAAATACCTGTTGTTAAAAGCTTTGTCCGTTCCAATTTCATAAAACTAGAGAATTCTTGAAATTTGAATGATAAAATTTATAAATTTATTTCTTTGAATATGTAATGAATTCACACGAATAATAAATGGAGTACGTACGAGTTTGATCAATGTCAAGATCAATGTCAAGAAATTTTATGCTCACCCGACTTTGAAAGCGTCTCGCAGTCGTTTCACTTTCAACACGTCCCGATTGGAAAATATTTCCGGCATATGAGTCCTGTAAGTGTAATAATTCTCGATTTTGTTCTTCGTTGTCTCGATATGATAGTAACTGCAGTGTAGAAATATGGCGAGCTCCATGTCTTGAATTTTCGGCAGATGTGGTTGTTTTTCGCACCATTCTCTCAGTATCTGTATGTCTGACAACTTCAGTTCTGCATTTTTCTTCAGCTCTTCTTCAAGGGTAATGCATTTTGTCGAAGACATCACTTAGATCGTATTTTTTATAAAGTTTCACTCTCCCTTCACTTACTGATCAATTATAATGAATGTCTCAGATGGGCATTTGTTCATCAATTTTTCCTAGTTATTTATCAAGATGAAATTTCAAATTATTTATCTTGCTGAAAACTAAGCCGTTAATAACTATTTTTCCACTTATATAATAGTAGTGCAGATAAGTCTATATAGTCTATTTGATCAGTGGCAATTTCCTTTGTGAGAAAGGAACAAGAAGTACTTGATGCTCTCTTAAATATCGCGCTTCAACTTCAATGATGTTATGTTCGCTACTGCTTGATCACGATTATATCTTATGTGTCCCGACTTCTTGTTCTAGGAAAACCGGTTTCCCCCACACTTGAGATTCTTGTAAAGATACGATTCTTTTTTCAATATTACATAAATTGTTCATAACGTGCAATATAAGTATAATAATGCTCAAGGTTTACCAGGAATCCACAGTCCCTCCGGCAAAGTGCTGTGAAGATAAAATAAATTACCGTAATTACATAAATTATTATGTTATAGTCTCAGTCAATCTAATTTTGCTCTTTTTAACTTTTATTCTAATCAAGTTTGTCGAGATTACGTTTCGATCACACGCCGTTTATCCTATTCCTCAGAATTCATTTGTCATACACCTCTAGCTTCTTTATCTGAATCTGTGTTAGATCGTACATTAAACTCGTTTTTCCGCTGATTTTATTCGGCAGCACGTTTACTGTAACGTATTTGCGCTTTTCAACACAAAAGATAAATGGAATATGGATATTTCCAAATATGTGAGAAAAGAGGAAGACATTAATTCTGATGAACGTCCTGCTTGATTGGTTTTATTGTAAATATTTACTATATTTATCGTTTCTTTAAAAAAATTTTTAGGAGCAATTTCATGACAATCGA